CGTGACCCGGGCCCGAGCCTGACGTCCACGTCTCTGCTTCGGCCTCGGAGCCCTGGCCTGGCCGCACTGGCCCCTCCCGGAGTGGGGAGTTCACGGTCAGGCACAGGCTGGGTCTTCCCAGAGCAGAGGTGATGGGCCAGAGGGGCCCAGGCCGGGCCCCAAGGGTCACCCCAGGCCCCAAGCCAAACCCCAGCTCCCAGCTGCCTCTGGTCGGAGATGGGCCAGTCCCTGGGAGACAGAGACAGAAGAGGTAGCAGAGACAGCTTATAGGAGGGTCGGGGGGGCCTTTGCAGCCCCCAGCCCCCTCCGGGCCTCCTCCCAGAACTCTGGCATCTACTCAGAAGGCTTATAGCCCGCTGGCGTGGCCCAGTGGCCGAGCGTCGACCTATGAACCAGGAGGTCACGGTTTGATTCCCAGTCGGGGCACATGCCCGGGTTGCGGGTTCGATCCTCAGTGTGGGGGTGCAGGAGGCAGCAGATCCATGATTCTCTTTCCCTCTCCCTCTCCCTGTCCCTTCCCTCCCTCCCTCATTCATGCTCCTCTGGGGGTGGTTTCCCCCAAAGGGGCTGATCAGAGCTGGGCAGTAGTTGGTACCTGAGACAGGGGTGGGGCAGGACCACCTGGTTACCTGTGGGAGGCACCCCGAGCCTGGCCTCTGCCTCAACTACCCCCAAACTACCCACCACTAGTGGGGCCCTGAGGTCAGAGGGGGGCAGGGGGCTGGAAGGAGGGCAGCCCCTCTGGGCCACGCTGGTGGTTGTTGCCGAGAACGGAAGCTCGGGGCGCACAGGGCGGGAGGAGGAAGCAGCCAGCCTCCCCCGCGGGCTGAGGGCGGCTGTGCCCCGGTTTCCACGGCCGAGCCCTGAGGGCTGTGAGCTCCCTCCCCTCACCAGGCTGGTCCCACAGCAGTCGGAGGGGCTGGAAGCTGAGCTCCTGGGCAAAGAGCATGGTGGCGGGGGCCCGGGGCCAGGGTAGGATGGGTATGTGTGTGGATATATATCTATCACCTGAGGATACTTTTCCATTGATTTTTAGAGAGAGAGGAAGAGACAGGGAAAGACAGAGAGAAACATCTAGTGAGAGAAACACATTGATGGGTTGCCTCCTGCACATGCCCTGACCAGGGCCTGGGCCGGGGAGGAGCCTGCAACCCAGATGTGTGCCCTCGACCGGGTCGGCAGGCAGATGCTCTATCCACTGAGCACCCACCAGGGCCCCAAACCGCAGGCTGCCCCGTATCCCATTCCAAAGGGGGAGGGGGTTCGGGGCTGGGCCAGCTGCTGGGGCCAGGCTCCTGGCCCTGTACCCCCCTGGCCTCCCATCCTGGCCGCCCCCCCCCCCAGGAGGAAGCAGTGGGGTGCTGAGACCTCGAGAAGACCCGAGGGAGAGGATGTGGGTTCGTCTGAGGGAGTGGTTGGTGGGGACGAGACTCAGGCTGTGGGACGGTTTTTGCTGAATGGAGAGGTCGGGCGGGGAGGGTGCTGGCTACCTGTCTGCAGCTGCTCCGGGGCCCCACCTCCACCCGCACCCAGCTGCTCCGGCTGGCAGGGCCGGCAGGTGTGCTGTCCTCAACAGCGCCCCCTGTGGGAGGCTCTGAGCCCCCCTAAACCGTGCCGGCAGCACCTCTTCCCCTTAGATTCTGAGGCAGGGTTTCCATCCATGTCCCCCCTTTCGGCTGCTGCAGGGACTCGGCCGGAGGTGCCCTAGGTGAGGGGTGTCCTAGCCATACTTGGCCGGCTTCTCTCTCACATCAGCTCCCCTAGTTGCCCTCCCCAGGCCTCTTTGGAAGAGCACATATGTGCACGGACACACACACACACACACACACAAGCACACGTGCACGCACACACACAGAGCAGGAAAGTCTGCGAAGTCTGCAGGGCGGTTTCGAGCCCCCCTTCCCCCCCCCCCCCAGGGCGGG